TCCCCTTCCCCTCCTCTGCCTCCCGCCGGGGTCTGCGGCCGCCCCACGGGGCTGCTCCGTCCTGGACCCCCAAACCTCACCCCCCCCCCCGTGCCCTCACTCAGGTCTCGGCAGCAGAACCTCGCTGGAGGACTCAGCCACAGCAGGGCCCCTCCTGCGCTCCCGCCCTGGGGTCGCTCCCACCCGGCCCTGGGCAAAGCAGCTCCCGTGCGGCCCCTTTTTAGCCGCGGAGGGTCCCTGTGCTCCTCCCCGGGCCCCGCTTTGCCCCGGTGAAGACGCGGCCCCTTCCTCCTCCTCCTCCTCGCCGGAGGCAGCGGCCGGCCCGGCCGGCTCCCACGTAAGGACCCCTCGGTGCCAGCTCCCAGGTACGTGCCCCCGGCTCTGCGGCGCAAGAGGGGGGGTCCGTAGCGGGGCCATGGGTGCCCACGGGGGCTGCAGGGTGGTGGGAGCCGCCGGATGCCGCTGTGGTGCCGGGGAGCCCTCGGGAGCGGTGGCGGCAGGGGCAGGGTTAAAGCAGGGTAAAGCAGGGCGCAGGCAGAGCCGGTGGCGGGCTCCCTTCCTCCGGCAACTCTCCGCTCTTGTCTCGCCCGCCCAGGCTCCCTCCGTCCTGCCGGCGGCGGGTGATGCCGGGCCGGAGCCGCTCCCGGCCCATCCGAAGCCCTTTCCCATTCCCAAACGAGCCTTTCCGCCTCGCTTCCTCCCTCAGACCTAGGAAGACGTCAGGTTATAGCCTCTGCTTGAGAGGTGGCCGCGGGGCTGCGGGCGCTGGCTCCCGGGGGGATGCTGCTCCCCTCCGGCATCGCTGCGAGCGGGCAGAGGGATGCTGGCGGGGTGGCTGCCTGCTTGCTGCTGGCTTCCCCCCATCCCAAACCCCCGCGGGCACAGGGAGCGAGGAGAGGTGATGGGATGGGGCGCATCCCGCCCCCAAAGCGGGCTCCGGGAAGGGGGGGGGGGCAGCCCCGTGACACCGACGATAGGGACCTCAGGTGGCGGCGGGTGCTGGGAGGTGCCTTGGGGTCCCGAGCCCTCCACTGCCACCGCAGAGCCCGCTTGAGCCTCACCTCCTCCCCGTGCGCCGCTGGTGCGGGTGCCCCGCTCTGCCTCGCTTGCCCCGCTGCCCCCCGCATGCCCCGCTCCCCCCGCGCCCGCGCCCCCATCGCTCCCGTTTCTCCCCCTCCTCTCTTTGCAGAGAAGAAGCAGCAGCTGCAGCCCCCGAAGCCGCGCCCGCCCGGCCTCAAGGTCCGCCTGCAGAAGCGGCCGCGGGGCCCGTCCTGAGCCGCCTCCTCCTCTCCCACCTTTCTCAGGAATGCCGTGCGGGAGCACGCCGGGGCCGGGCCGCCCCGCGGCCCCTTCGCTGGACAGAACTGGTCCTTGGCCTTGTTTCGGATGCTTTTGTCCTTGTTTTGACGTGTTCTGCCTGGTTTAAGCACCGCCGTGGGGCTGGTCGCGGACCCCCCGACCCTGGTTTGGAGTTTTGCCCTTGGTTTTTACCGTGTCTGTGACATTTCCCTATCGATGAGTAAAGAGGGACTCCCGCGTCCTGGTCTTTCTTGTGCATCTTTGTTGTCACTGTGTGTTTTTCTGCCTTCCCCCGTCCATCCCGTAAAGCAGGTACCGGTTGTAGCCAGGGGTGTGAGCCCAGGGAGAGGAGGACCCATCCCAGCACCCGCGGGGGCTGCTCCCAGCTTGGCCAAGGGATGCAGGAGCTGCTTGTTGCTGGTGCAGGCGCTTGCTTGGCTGCTCTCTGGCCGGCGGCAGCGGCGCAGGGCCGGGCACGGGGATGCGGGGACGGACGCCGGTCCCGGGATGCTCCCCCCTCGCCCGGCTCAGCCGCGGCCGCTCTGCTCTCTCGGCAGACAAGGACGAGTGCTCCAAGAACAACGGGGGCTGCCAGCACGAGTGCCTCAACTCCTTCGGCAGCTACGAGTGCCAGTGCCGCAGCGGCTTCGTGCTGCACGACAACAAGCACGACTGCAAGGAAGGTGGGTCCGAGCCCCAAACCGCTCCCCAGCCCCAGCCCCTGCACCCCTGACCCCCCCTTGCCCCCGCAGCCGGCTGTGACCATAAGGTGACGTCCACCACGGGGACCATCACCAGCCCCAACTGGCCTGACAAATACCCCAGCAAGAAGGAGTGTACCTGGGCCATCAGCACCACGCCGGGGCACCGCGTCAAGCTGGTAGGGCTCTGGGGGTACCAGGGGACGGGCGGCAACGGGGGGTCCCCCCGCCGAGCCCCACCGCGTGCTGGTGGCTCTGTGACCTCCACAGACCTTCTCGGAACTGGACGTGGAGGCGCAGCAGGAATGCGCCTACGACCACTTGGAGATCTACGATGGCAAAGACGCCAAAGCCCCGGCGCTCGGCCGCTTCTGCGGGGCCAAGGAGCCCGAGCCCCTCGTCTCCTCGGGCAACAGGATGTTCCTCAAGTTCGTCTCTGATAACTCCGTGCAGAAGAAGGGCTTCGAGGCCACCCACGCCACAGGTACCGGAGCAGGGCCTGGTTATGGGGCAGGAGGAGGCTGTGGACCCCTCAGCATCCCCTCGCTGCCGTCTCATCCGCAGTGTGCGGCGGCCAGGTCCGCGCCGAGGTGAAGACCAAGGACCTGTACTCACACGCGCAGTTCGGGGACAACAACTACCCCGGGGGCTCGGACTGCGAGTGGGTGATCATGGCCGAGGAGGGCTACGGCGTGGAGCTCATCTTCCAGACCTTCGAGATCGAGGAGGAGGCCGACTGTGGCTACGACTACATGGAGCTCTTTGATGGCTATGACGGGACGGCGCCGCGCCTCGGGCGCTTCTGCGGGTCCGGGGTGAGGATGGGGCGAGGGGGTGGGCAAAAGGAGGCACCCCAGGCCAGGCTGGATGTGGCGCTGGGCAAACTGGTGTAGGTGATCCCTGCTCAGTGCAGTGACTGCAGGAGCTGTGGATACTGGGACAGGTTAGGGTATTAGGAGCGATTCATACCTGGAAGTGTTCACACACCGCGTAGCCAAGGCCCCCAGTGCCATGGGTTGGTGGTGGCCTTGGCAGTGCTGGGGTAAGGGTTGGGCTGGATGAGCTGAAAGGGCTTTCCCAGCTTGGTTGATTCTAGATCCTATGAAAGACCTAAACTGTGGTAGCCAAGCCAGGCAGAGCATCCCTGGGGGGCCGCTGGGGTTGTACATGGGGGTGCACCCCCGGGATGCTCACGGTGCCCCTCGTCCCGGCAGCCCCCGGAGGAGGTGTACTCAGCCGGGGATTCGGTGATGATCCGCTTCCACTCGGACGACACCATCAACAAGAAGGGGTTCCACCTTCGCTACACCAGCACCAAGTTCCAGGACACGCTGCACACGAGGAAATGAGGCCCCGGGGGTAGCGGGGGTCCCGGCCCCGCCGCGGGCAGGGAGGAGGAGGAGGATGGAGGAGGCAGGAGGAAGGCAGCGGGCGCGCACCCCGCAGGCTGCCCGAGGCGCACACAGCCAACCTCAGCACTCAAGACACGCTCGCACGGGGCCCCGGGGCTCGGGCACCCCTGGGCACAAGGGCAGAGGGGGGGGCCCTGGGCCAGCAGCCGTGCCCCTGGCACCGTGCGGGGCACACGAGGGCCCCGTTGCCCTCCCTCGGCCCGGCCGAGCCGGCCGCAGCTCTGAATGTACAAACCAGTAACCGGGAAGAGCCCAACACACACAAGGTGCTGTCTCCCTCTTGTACCGATGAAATAAATACCCTTGTACTTGGAGGGGGCAGCCCCGGCCTTTCTGCTTCCCCCGCTTCAGGGATAACAGCATCCAAACCAGGGCTGGACCATGGGGGGCAGAGCATCCCCCCCCTTGCAGGGGAGCCGCAGGTCAGGGCTCCCCAAAAGCAATCAGTTCATTGCAATGCGAAGCGATGAGCTGGAGCATCAGCCGGAGCGAGTCCCTCCGTGGGTGCTGGGTGCTCCCCCAGGCCACCTTCGGGCAGCTCTGCAGGTAGGTGCTCACCCCACACCTTTGGTTTCCCATTGGGAACGCATCCCCAGCCCCATCCCTGGTGGCAGATGGATGGTGGGATGCAGCACGCGCTCCCTCGCGCATCCCCTCCTTCATCCTTCATGTGATGGTGCCTGCGGTGGGGGGAACGAGGCTGCTCCTCACGCGCAGCCTGGGAAGGGGGTGGGCAGCCCGGATGGGACGGTGATGGGCGCCGGGGCCTTCCATCCAGCGGGGTTTGCAGCGATGGGGGATGCGGTGTCAGCACCGTGCTCTTGAGGCTGGTGAGAGCGGGAGAGCGCCCGCTGCTGTCCCAGCACCACCCGGTCCCCCCTCCCCACCCGGTCCCTCCCCTCCGGAGCACGGCCGGGGCTGGAGCAGGGACAGAGGCGCGGGACACGGCCGCTGTGAGCGCACAGTTTATTGATGCAGCGCCAGCACAGCACAGGGATGCTGGGGACGGACGGGGAGGTGGTTGCGTCCCACCGGAACAGCGTGCAGGGGGTACACCGAGAGGGGAGCCCGCGGGGGCCATGCTGCCGGCGGCTCATGCGGGGGGCTGCGGAAAGAGGGGGGGACACAGGGGGAAGGGGGGGGTCAGCTCTGCTCCCCCACCCGGGCTCCTCCGGCTGCCACGGGGATGGGTAGAGCAGAGAGTGAACACAGCACGACACCGGGGAGGGGGGGGACACACAGGCTGCGGTGCCACCCCACACCCCAAAGCGGTGCCCCAAAGCGGGGGTCCCTGCCCCAGCTCCCCTCCATCCCCGGGCGCAGTTCAGGACTGGGAAGGGGGGTGTTTTCCAGCCTCTCCGACGAGCCCCATGGGGTGGGGGGGGTAAAGGGATGCTGGAGGGGAAGGGGGTCCCGCAGAGGATGCGCAGAGGCGGGCAGAGCGCGGGGCTCACGGTGCGAGGATGATGCTGGGCGGCCGGTCCAGGAGACGGAGGCTTCCTCCCGCTGAGCAGCCCAGGCTCTGCCTCAGCCCCGGGCCAGCCTCCCACCAGCTCCCTGCTGCCGCGGGCCGGGGTCCATCGCGGGGGGGGGCCCATCCGCGTCCTTCCCCCAGCAGCATCCATGGGTCCGTGCCCCCGGCCGGCCCTGCCCGCGGCCCCCCCTTAGCGCCCCACGCTGATGTTGCACGTCTTGCAGCTGGGGTCCTTTTTGGCGTTGGCGGTGGAGAGGCTCATGAGCTGGTGGCCGCTGATCTCCCCCAGCACGCCGAGGCTGAGGTCCACCGGCTCGGTGTATATGAGCTCCAGGATGCTGTCCTGGGCATGGCGGAACACCAGCTCGCCCTCCTCCACGCAGCACGTCAGGAACTTGTTGGAGGAAATGTCCAGCTGGGGCAGGCGCTCCCTGCAGAAGAGATCCCCGGAGGAGCCCTTGGGCGCCAGGACCAGCACGACGTAGTGGTAGGCGGTGTACATGCAGTAGAAGTCCGCGAAGTAGAGGTTGGTGTTGGGGTTGAAGAGGCGCTGGGCTGGGATCTGGAAGCGGTAGCGGCCGTAGGGCGAGTCCTGGGGGGGCTGCCCGGTGTTGAACTCGGTGTTGCAGCTGAAGAAGATGCCGTGCAGCATCCCGCTGGTGGGGGAGCCGTGGCTGCCGCTGTTGTCCTTCAGCGACGGCTTCATCACGTTCCCGCAGTGCATCCTGTGCGCGGGGAGCGGGGGGGGGCACACACAGAGGTCAGGGATGCAGCCCCGGTTGGGAGCGGGTGGTGGGGGGTGGGGGGCAGATGGGAACGGGGGTACCTGACGTGCTGGAAATACTCCTTGTGCTGGTTGCGGTAGAAGACGGAGAAGCGCAGCATGCGCCCGGCGATCAGCTCCGCTTTCTCCTGCAGCTGGGCCAGATGCTCCTTGGCGTAGTCTGGGGATGGGGACATCGGGGTGAACCCACCCCCCCCTCCTCCGGCAGCCCATCCCGTCCCATCCCGTCCCATCCCATCCCATCCCGTCCCATCCCATCCCATCCCACCCCGCAGCTCCCGTTCCCCACACCTCCTGCTTCCCACTCATCAGCTGCCGCTCCAACCGGCCCCGGCTTGTGCAAGCTCCTGGCATCGCCCCCGTGCTCCCGGCTCCTGGATCCCAGCCCCGGGACCGCCTCCGCTCACCCCCGGTGCAGAACTCCACGGTCTCGCTCCAGCCGGACACCAGGTACTCGCCATCGCTCTGCTTCACGGCCGTCTGCACCGCCACGCTGTACTCGGTGCGGGGGCTCAGGAACCAGTGTCCCCGCACCGTCATGGGCAGCGGCACCGCCTTGGCCACCAGCTTGGTGGGGACATCCTGTGCGAAAGGGCTGAGGGTCAGGATTTCATCTCACACCCCCCCCTCCTTCCCATCCCTACCCCTTCCCAATCCCGAGTGCTGCTGGGGTGGGGACTCAGCTTCCCCCCAGCCAAGGGGGTGTCTTGGGGACCCCTGCTCCCAGCATCATCTCGTGGTGTCAAGAGGCCAGGGAGCATCACCGCAGTGCAGAGCTGTTTCTGTGGCAACGGCGGATGCTGAAGTCAGGAGACACAGGGGAAAAAAAAGGAATAATCCCCCCCCCCCATTCCCCCCCCTTTATTATCGGGGAGGAGGGAGGAAAAAAATAATGTTAAACATTAAATAGCATCACCCTGGCAACGGCGCTGCTAAAAGCGGCCCGAGCGAGTGACTCGCAGCCATGCGGAGGGGGAGCGTGAGCGGCTCCGCGGGGGCTCGGGGCCTTGGTGGCACCTCGGTCCCCATCCCGGTCCCCTCCACCGTGTCCCAAGGGAGGGTTTGACCCCAATTCGGCACTGGAGTGAGCGCAAACGCTGCTCCCCCCCTCCAAGCCCCATCTCCTCGCCCTAAACGGGACCCCCACGTCCCCCTCCCCGGCTCACCCGGTGCTTGAACTTGTTGGAGTTCTTGTTCTCCTTCTTGTTGAGGTCGATGAAGTAGTGGGTGACCCTCTCCAGGTCCCCCTTCTCCATGGCCCAGGAGATGCGGAAGGAGTCGCAGGTGATGTTGTTGATCTCGATGTTCTTGGGGGTGGAGAGCAGCTCCATGGCCGGGGGAGGTGCGGGGCTCCTGCGGGACACGCGGGGGTTGCTCTGGGGGTGCCGAACGCAACCGGGGGCGCCCGCAGCCCACGGCGGCAGCTGCCGCCCGCCCGCAGCCGGGGGCCCGCGGCAGAGCAGATGGCACCGGGGAGGGAACCGGCAGCCAGGAATAGGCAGCGGGGAGCCGGGAACGAGCCCGCCCGGGTGCCGCGGGGCCCCGGCTCGGAGCCAGCGCCTGGTTCGGGGTTTGCTCAACACCGGGCGGGGAAAGAAAAACAAGGGGAGAGGAGGGAGGGAGGGGAGCGGGGAGGGTGCGGGAGGAGAGCCCGGATCCGCCTCTGCCCCGGCCCGCGGCCGCTCCCTGCCTCAGTTTCCCCATGGCTGGGGCTGCGCTTCCCCCCCTACGCCATGGTGTGGGGGGGTGGCACCCAAGGGTGGGGGTTCCGTGGGTCCAGCGGTGGCACCGAGCTATGGGGTGCACACAGGAGGGTGCCCCCCGCTTCGCACCTCAACACAGGAGCCCGGCCATGCTGCAGCGGGCACCCATCGATGCCTGGCACCATGGGGCTGCCCCCCTGTACACCCGTGCCCATGGGCACCCACGGCCGGGGTGCCAACAGTCCGCAGCCCCCCCCGCGCCGCTGCACGGCATCACCACCATCACCACCATCATCACCATCACTGGTGCCAACACCGCTCAGCACCCACGGGCGCAGCCACCCCACGCTCCCAGGCACCCACAGCCCCCCCTCCCCAAAGCCTCCCCCAGTGCTCGGTACCCACCAAACCCCCCCAAGCTGGTGTCACCCCACACCAGCAGAAGGTCACCGCTCTGGGGACACTGGTGCCAACCCAATGCCCCATTTCCGTGCCTGGCAGCGGCCAAGCGGGCGCTCTGCGGGCACAGCGCGATGTGCCCGTGCCTCCGCATCTCCATCCACGCATCCCGCATCCCCATCCACGCACCCCGCATCCCCATCCATGCACCCCGCATCCCCATCCATGCACCCCGCATCCCCATCCATGCACCCCGCATCCCCATCCACGCACCCCGCATCCCCATCCGTGCACCCCGCGTCCCCCAAGCAACCCCTCCTCCGATTGCCGCTGGAAGCGCGCTCCCGAGCGGGCCCGTACCTGTCGGTGCCGGGGGGCTGCGGGGCCGCGGTGCGGTGCCGGTGGGGGGGGCAGCGCAGGGCAGGCACGGGGGGAGCGCGGCCGCGGTACCCGGCGGTGCCGCGGTGCTGCCTGCGGCTGCTGCGCCCGGGATCCTCCCCGGCAGCTCGGGAGCAGCGCGCACCCTCCAGAGGAGGGAGAGGGAATGAGACCGATGGGGGGGGTTGGGGGGGGCGAACCCCAACAGAGAGGCGAAGCCGGTGCCTGTGAGCGGCGGGGGGGGGGGCAGGACCGAGCCCGTTCGCCAATGGCTGCGAGCGGCGTCAGCGAGGGATGGAGGCAGCGGCTCCGCGCTGTGGGCGCATCCTGGGGGTGGGGGGGGCTGAGCCCATGGCACAGCCGGGACACCCCAAAGCACCCACAGTGGGGTGCAGGGCTATGGGGGTGCTGGAAGCCACCGGGACCCCCCACCCCGGGTGCGGGTTTGATGATGGGGGGGGATGCAGGGGCCGCCTGTGCGGCAGCACCAGGGTTTATGTGGGGGGGGAGCACCCCAAAACCTCGTTGCCCACCGGGTCCGTGGGTGTGTGGGGCAAGGCTGCAGGGGGTTAGGGGGTGTCCGCAGCCCGGCACCCCACGGGGTTCAAATGAAGAAGAGGTGACTCCAAACTCGTCCCCATTGTGTGTGTGTGCCCCCATTATGTGTGCACCCCCCCCATTGTGTGCGCGTGCCCCCATTGCACTGCGCCCCACGGCGCGGCTCTGCCCGCTACAAAGATGGCGCCGCCGCCGTCACATAGGCCAGCGCAGTGCCCAGCACAAAGATGGCGGATCACTGGCAGACACCGCTGCCCTTAATAAAGATGGCAGCGGCGGCGCCACAATGGAAACGCGCGTCGCGCGTCGCGCAGGCGCAGTACGGACGGGAGCCGGTGGCTGCCCGGGTCGGGTAAGGGGTGGCGTGGTGCGGGGTACGGGGGCATGCGGGGGGTGAGCCTCATGGGGGGGGGGCTCTGGGGGTGCGGGAGGATCGGAGGGGGGGGCTGAAGCCCCATGGGGTGAGGGATAGGAGCGGGCTTTGTTTGGGGGTACAGGGGCAGTGTCATGGCTATGGGATGGGCTCTGTTTGTGGGGCAGTGTCATGGCTATGGGATGGGCTCTGTTTGGAGGGGCAGTGTCATGGCTATGGGATGGGCTCTGTTTGGGGGGGGCAGGGGCAGGGCTATGGGATGGGCTCTGTTTGGGGGTGCTGGGTCATTGTCATGGCTATGGGATATTTTGGGGGTGCCCCTCTCCATCTCCCCCCCGCAGGCCGAGGATGGCGGAGGGGGGCTCTGGCGATGCAGGCTCCGGGGCCAGCCTGCGCCCGGGGCTGCCGGGGGCGCGGGGGCTGCTGGGGCGGCGGCCCGGGGCCCCCCCCGTCACCCCCGGGCGCCTGCCCTCCATCCGCTCCCGAGACCTCACCCTGGGCGGCGTCAAGAAGGTGAGAACCGGGGGGGGGGGAACCCAAAGGGTCCCTGCGGGTGATGGGGACCGCGATGGGGGCGATGCGGAGCGGGGCCGGGGTGGTTTCTGCTCTGCCCCGTGCCCTGCAGTGATCGCTCCCTGCTCTCACCGCAGAAAACCTTCACCCCCAACATCATCAGCAGGAAGATCAAGGAGGAGTAAGTGCCCCGTAACCGGCTGCTGCCATGGGGAGGATGGATGGAGCAGGGCCCTGCGGCCATCGGGGTGCTGACCCCCCCCCCCCATGCTCTGCAGGCCCAGGGAGGAAACCTCGGTCAAGAAGGAGAAGAAGGAGCGGGAGCGGCAGCGCGATGGGCAGGGCCGGGGCCGGGGCCGGCCTGCGGTCATCCAGTCCCACTCCATCTTCGAGCAGGGGCCCGCTGAAATGATGAAGAAGAAAGGTAAAGGAGCTGCTCCTCTTCCTCTGGGGGGGTCCTGCCCCGCTCAGGGCTCACCCTGGCGCTGGGTCCGGTCCCCAGCAGGCTCCTGGGACAAGACCGTGGATGTGTCGGACTTTGGCCCTTCCCACATCATCAACATCAAGAAGGAGAAGAGGGAGACGGACGAGGAGACGAAGCAGATCCTGCGGATGCTGCAGAAGGATGATGTGAGTGGGGCCGGGGCGGGGGGGTGCTGGTGGCAGTGGGGCAGCGCTGAGCATCCCTGCTCCATCCCGCAGTTCCTGGATGACCCAGGCCTGAAGAACGACATCCGGAACAAGCCGGTGCAGCTGCCCCTGGCGCACTCGGGCTGGCTCTTCAAGGAGGAGTCGGGGGAGCAGGAGGATGCTGAGCCCTGGCTGCCCGGCCCCAAGGAGGAGAAGATGGAGCTGGACCCATCGGCGGTGAAGGGTGAGCTGGGGGGGACTGGGGGTGTTGGTTCTGGTGAGTGCCTGAGCTGCATCCCCATCCCTGGCAGTCTCAAGGGGCTTGGAGCACCCTGCTCCAATGGAAGGTCCCTGCTCATGGAGCTTGAAGCCAGCCCATTGCAGGGCTCTATGGACACAGAGGGGTGCGGGGTGCCCCCCTTTGTTTCCCCTCACCCCCCCCCTTTCCCTGTGCAGTGAAGGAGGAGCCGTGCGATGAGGCCCCCCCCCGGCCCGCACCCAGCAGGGCCCCCCCCGGCTTCCCCCGGGACGTGCCGGTGTCGGAGCTGCTGCAGCGCCTGCGGCTCTCGGCCCAGGAGGAGCTGCTGTTCCTGCAGCTCCCGGACACGCTGCCGGGGCAGCCCCCCAGCCACGACACCAAACCCGCCCGCCCCGACCCGCACGGCGAGGACGCAGCGGCGCTGCTGGGCAAGCAGGACAAGAGCCAGGTAGGGGCTGATGGAGGGAGGGAGGGAGGCCATGGAGCAGCTCTGCCATGGAGCCAGGCTGGGGCAGCCTGGAGAAGGGAAGGCTCCTGAAGGGGAGCCCTTAGAGCAGCTCCAGTGCCTGGAGGGGCTGCAGGAACCTGGAGAGGGGCTTGGGACAAGGGGAGCGCTGGGATGAGGACCCCGTCCCGTGTCCCCGCAGGAGCTGAGGCAGGCAGAGAACACGTGCACCCTGAGCGACCTCCCCGAGGGACAAGTGGGGAAGCTGCTGGTCCGCAAGTCGGGGAAGGTGCAGCTGGTGCTGGGCAAAGTGACCCTGGACGTGACCATGGGCACCCCCTGCTCCTTCCTGCAGGTACGAGGTGTGGGGCTGAGCCCCATGGGGACCGGGCCGGGTGATGCTGGTGATGCTCTTTGCAGCGCATCCCAGTGAGGGCAGCAGGGAAGGACCCTGCTGTTGGCAGCAGGGCGCAGGGGCCCCAGGGGGTGCTCCCCCCCCTGCCCCAGTGCCTGAGGGGTTTCCCATGGGCTTGGGCTGCTCATGGCTGGTTCTCGCCGGGCCCAGGAGCTGGTGTCGGTGGGCATCGGGGACGGCCGCACCGGGGAGATGATGGTCCTGGGCCACGTCAAGCACAAGCTCGTTTGCTCCCCGGACTTCGAGGCGCTGCTCGAGCACCGGCACCGGTAGCACCGGGAGAGCTGGGGGGGGGGGCATGGGGCTCCCGTTGGAGCCGCTGCAGCCCCTGGTCCCCCCCCTGCGGCTCCGGGGGTGCAGGACCCTGCTGCGCCCCTGCCTGCACCTGGGGACAGTGTGGAATAAACCCCTGTCTTGGCCCATTTCCGGCTGTTCTGTCTCATCCTGTCCATGGGGGTCAGAGCCTGCGCTGCTTCCTCGCCCTGGGGAGCAGGGGGGGGTCCAGCATCCCCCAAGGGGGGTGTCACGGAGCTGAATCCCCCCTGGAGGCCCCCCAGGCACCTCCGATGGGCAGGGAGTGGGAATGGGGCTGCCCTCTGTCCCCTGCTGTTGCCTCCCCCGATCCCAATTCACCCTTCCCTATCCTATTGCACCACCACAACCCCATTTCCTTATCCCAAACCTCAATTTATTTACCTCCTATCTCAATATATCTCCCAAATCTCAGGTTTTTTACCCCAAATCCCAGTATACCTCCCAAATCTCCACTTTTTTACCCCAAATCCCAATATACCTCCCAAATCTCCACTTTTTTACCCCAAATCCCAATATACCCCAAACCACAGTTTATTTACCTCTTAAATTAAAATTCGCTTCCCCAAATCCCTATTTATTAACTCCCAATCCCAACATCCCCCCCCAATCCCGCTCTATCCCCAATCCCATTTGCCCGCTCGCCGCTCCTTGACCCCGCCCCCTTTAAGCCCCGCCCCTCCTGGCGCTGTCCGCGGTGCTGGGCGGGGGAAGGGGCGGGGCACCCGGTGGGCGGGGCCGCGCCTGCGCACTGCTTTCCCGCCAGCGTGGTCGCGGCGACGGAACTCGAGGGGCGCGCCATGGAGCGGCCGCGGTTCCCCCTCGGGCCCGGTCCCTCGGCCCCGGGCAGGCTGCGGGGCCTGGTGGGCCGAGCTCAGCGCCTGCCGCCGCCCGGGCCCGCCGAGCTGCCGCTGTGCGCGCTGCTGCGGGGGCTGAGCCTGGAGCCCCACGGCGGGGCCCGCGGGGGGCCGGGCCCGAGGCCTCCCTCCGTTGAGAGCCCGGTGCAGGCCCCGCCGCGGCCCGGCCCCGAGCCCTGTGGTGATCACGTGACAGCGGCGCTGCCGGCGCGCGGGCGGTGAGTCCCGCAGGTCGGGCCCGGTGCGCGGTGATGGGCGCTGAGTGCGAGGGGGGCACTGAGGGGAACGGGGCTGGAGCAGGGCCTGGAGCACAGGGGTGATGGGGAAGGGCTGAGGGACCGGGGGGGGGGGTCAGATGGAGAAGAGAAGGCTCAGGGGGGACCTGATGGCTCCCTCCAAGTGCCTGACAGGAGGATGGAGCCAGGAGGGGCTGGGCTCTGTGTGCACCCAGGGGGCTGTGGGGGGGCTGGGGTCCTGGGGTGCAGGCTGAGCTCTGTGTGCACCCAGGGTGCTGTGTGGGGGGGGCTGGGTCCGGGTGCAGGCTGAGCTCTGTGTGCACCCAGGGTGCTGTGGGGGGCTGGGGTCCTGGGGTGCAGGCTGAGCTCTGTGTGCACCCAGGGTGCTGTGGGGGGGCTGGGGTCCGGGTGCAGGCTGAGCTCTGTGTGCACCCAGGGTGCTGTGGGGGGGGTTGGGGTCCGGGTGCAGGCTGAGCTCTGTGTGCACCCAGGGTGCTGTGGGGGGGGCTGGGGTCCTGGGGTGCAGGCTGAGCTCTGTGTGCACCCAGGGTGCTGTGGGGGCTGGGTCCGGGTGCAGGCTGAGCTCTGTGTGCACCCAGGGTGCTGGGGGCTGGGTTCTGGGGAGCAGGCTGAGCTCTGTGTGCACCCAGGGTGCTGGGGGTGGGGGGGCTGGGTCCGGGTGCAGGCTGAGCTCTGTGTGCACCCAGGGTGCTGTGGGGGGGGCTGGGGTCCTGGGGTGCAGGCTGAGCTCTGTGTGCACCCAGGGTGCTGTGGGGGGGGGCTGGGGTCCCGGGGTGCAGGCTGAGCTCTGTGTGCACCCAGGGTGCTGGGGGGGGGCAGAGGGGATGCGCTGCCCGCCCCCCCCGGCAGAGGAGCCCCCGCGCCGCCCCAAGGGGTGCCCAGCGCCGCTGCTGCGCCCACCCTGAGCCCATCGGCACCCCAGGGCCTCCCTGCGGTCCCGGCCGGCACCAGCAGAGCGTAAGTGAAGCATTGGCAGGGTCCGGGGGGTGTGGGCAGCACCGGGCTCACGCTGCCTCTCCCCATCCCCAAGGGGGCCGGGGGCGAAGGCGGCACCGAAGGGCACAGCCCTGGCTCTGGGGCTGAACTCGGTGAGCATCCAGTGCCAGAACGAAGCCGTGTTCCAGTACCACGTCACCTTCAGGTACCGGCGCTGCACGGAGCGGCAGTGGGCTCTGGGCGCTGTGGGGTCCGGAGCGGGGTTTGGGGTGCAGGGCGAGCAGGCGCTGGCTCCCCGCAGCCCCGAGGTGGAGTGCAGGAGCGTGCGCTTGGCCATGCTGAAGGAGCACCGCGCCGTGCTGGGGGACGTGATGGCCTTCGATGGCGTCATCCTCTTCCTGCCCATCCAGCTCCTGCAGGTGAGCGCCGCGCACCCCACGCTGGGCCTGCAGCCCGTGTGTGGGATGGGGAGCACCTGGAGCACCCACATCACCCTTCCTGCCTGCAGCTCCTCACCCTGAAGGTGCAGAGGAGGAGCGACGGGGAGGAGGTCACCATCAGCATCCAGCTCACCAAGGTCCTGGAGCCCAGCTCCGATCTCTGCATCCCCTTTTACAACGTGGTGTTCCGCAGGTGAGCGATGCCCCGCACCCTCCTCCTCCTCCTCCCCATCCCCACCAAGCCTGGGCCCGTCCCGCTTTGCCTCGCCAGGGTGATGAGGATCTTGGACATGCAGCTGGTGGGGAGGAACTTCTTTGAGCCCACGCAGGCCACCACGTTACAGCAGTACAGGTGGGTACCAGGCACCTCCTCTGGGATGGGGCCATCCCTGTGCCCCATAGCAGCGGGCTGGGGGGGTGACCTCCGAGCTCAGCTTTAACCCAGGCGCTGTTGGGCATCTTGTGCTGGGGTGCAGGCTGCAGGTTTGGCCGGGGTACGCCGTCAGCATCCGGAAGAAGGACGGGGGCCTCTTCCTCTTGGTGGATTCCATCCATAAAGTGGTCTGGAGCGAGTCCGTGCTGCAGTTCATGTGAGAGGAGGGGGGAGCCCAGAGGAGCTTTGGGATGGGGGGGGTTCCCTGCAGCTGTGGGGCTGGCTCATGGAGCACAGGCACAGTGATGGTGGCACCGTGGGGCAGCAGGGGTTCGATGTGGGGCTGGCTCATGGACCGCAGGCACAGTGATGGTGGCACCGTGGGGCAGCAGGGGTTCAATGTGGGGCTGGCTCATGGACCACAGGCACAGTGATGGTGGCACCGTGGGGCAGCAGGGGTTCAATGTGGGGCTGGCTCATGGACCACAGGCACAGTGATGGTGGCACCGTGGGGCAGCAGGGGTTCGATGTGGGGCTGGCTCATGGAGCACAGGCACAGTGATGGTGGCACCGTGGGGCAGCAGGGGTTCGATGTGGGGCTGGCTCATGGACCACAGGCACAGTGATGGTGGCACCGTGGGGCAGCAGGGGTTCGATGTGGGGCTGGCTCATGGCGAGGCAGTGGTGACAGTGGCACCGTGGGGCAGCAGGGGTTCAATGTGGGGCTGCCATGGCCCTGGAGCATCCCCCCAGCCCCTCCTGCCCCCAGGCACAGCGTCTACAAGCAGAGGCCGGGCAGCTTCCAGGAGGAGTGCGTGAAGCAGCTGGTGGGCAGCGTGGTCATCACCCGCTACAACAACCGCACCTACCGCCTGGACGACATCGACTGGAGCAAGACCCCCCAGGACACCTTCACCATGGCCAGCGGAGAGGCCCTCACCTTCCTCACCTACTACAGGTAGGGCCGGATGGGGCGTCCATCGGGGGCAGCACCGGTGCGGGAGGAAGGGCCTGGGGAGCCCCGGATGCGGGAGCATCTCTCCCGGTGCTGCTTTTCCAGCAAAACCTATGGGATCACCATCAAGGAGCTGGAGCAGCCGCTGCTGGTCCATAGGCCGAAGGAGAAGCTGACTCCGCAGGGGAAGGTGAGGCAGGGACGGGGACCTGGAGCCCCGTGGTGCTTTCCTGGCTCCTCCAGCCCCTGCCCTGCCCATGGGGCGCTGAGCGCCGGTCCCATCCCCGCAGCGCTGCTTGGACTTGGTGCTGCTGGTGCCGGAGCTCACCTTCCTGACCGGCATTCCTGACATGAGGAAGGAGAGCCGGATGCTGAAGGTCAGAGCGTGCCGGGGGCTGGATGCGGTCCCTCCCAACCGAGCCCAGCGTGGGGCTCGGTGCCATGGGTGCTCCGGGGCTGTTCCTGCTGCAGGACGTGACGGGGGCGATGCTGCAGAGCCCGCAGCAGCACTACCTGCGCCTCAGCAGCCTCCTGCACCGCGTCCGCTGCAGCGCCGAGGCCTCGCGGGAGCTGCAGCGCTGGGGGCTGCGCCTCGGCCCCGACATCCACAGGGTGAGGGCCCCGGGGTGCCCCTCGGCAGCGGTGCGGCGGCGGCGGCAGCGCGGCAGCACCACGGCCTCCTCCTCCCTTAGACCCAGGGCCGGGTGCTGCCCATGGAGAGGATCAACCTGCGCCAGGGCTCCTTCACCCCCTGCGAGGACCGGAGCTGGGCCAAGGCGGTCGTCAGGGAAGCCTCCATCTCGGCGGTGAGCGCCTGCTGCAGCCACGGCTCCATCGCTGCCGGCTGGGCCTGGTGCTCCCCCATTGCCATCCCGGAGCTCCTTGCAGCCAGATCCCTTCCCTTGTTCGTGCTGGTGCTGCGCTGCAGCCCGGATGCCTGCCTGCGTGCCCATCGCCTCCTGGTGCATCTGGAGGCTGCAGGAACGGGATGCTGGGCTCCTTTGGGGATGCTTCCCTCTCCCATGACCCTGGGAGCCGCTGGCCCAGCCCCGCAGCCCTAACCCTAACCCTAACCCTAACCCAGCCCATCCTGCCCCTGCCTCCCCTGCCCTTAGATCTCCATGAATTACTGGCTCCTGGTGTACCCCAAGCGCCTGCAGCACCTGGCCAAGGACCTGGTGGCCGCCATGGAGAGCGCATGCGGCCCCCTTGGGATGCACATGAACCAGCCTGCACTGGTGGAGCTCAAGGACGACCGCATCGAGAGCTACGCCAGGGGCATCCGCAGCATGCTGAGCAGTGAGGTGGGTGCAGCGCCCTGACGGGGGGGGATGCAGCTGGGTGCTGGGGTTGGGGGGGGCACCCCAATTCCCGCTCCGGTTCCCCGCAGGAGAAGGTGCAGATCCTGCTGTGCATCATCTCGGGCGGCCGCGAGGATCTGTATGCGGCCGTCAAGAAGCTGTGCTGCGTGCAGTGCCCCGTGCCCTCCCAGGTACACGGGGGTTCCGGGGCTGGGGCTGGGGCGGCCCCGGTGCTTCCAGCCTGGCTTTTCCCTGTTCCCCCCCGTTCCCAGGTGATCAACGCGCAGACGCTGAGCGGGCACCCGGGGAAGCTGCGCAGCGTGGTGCAGAAAGTGCTGCTGCAGATGAACTGCAAGCTGGGGGGAGAGCTCTGGGGGGTCGACATCCCCCTGGTAAGGCAAAACCCGCTGGGAACGGGGCCTTGGCACCGGCTTCCCATTGGGACAGGGCACGGAGCTGGGGGCTCCGTCCTGGCTGCAGCGGGAGGGATCCGGGCTGGGAACCGTCTGGGTTATCCCTGATGCCTCCTTCCTCTGTCCCCATGGCAGAAGCAGCTGATGGTCATCGGCATGGATGTGTACCACAACCACAGCAAAGGGGTGCGCTCCGTCATCGGCTTCGTGGCCAGCATGAACCAGTGCGTGAGGCCGCTCGCTCCCAGTCCACCCTGGGGTCACGGGGAGGGTCCCGCACTGGGGTAACCGGGAATGGGGCAGAGCTGTCCTGACGCTGGTGCTGCTGCGCCGCAGCGTCCTCACCAGGTGGTATTCCAGGGTGGTTTTCCAGATGCCGCAGCAGGAGATCGCCGACAGCCTCCGGCTCTGCCTGGCCGATGCCCTCCAGCACTTCCATGAGGTGAGGCCGAGCCGGGGCTCCGGGCTCGGGGCTGGCACCGGAACCTCCCCGCGTCCCCACTGCGAGCCCCAGGGAGCCGCTGCCCTGTTGGGAATGAGGGAACCTCCCCCGGGATCCCAGGGGAAGAGCCAGGTCCCTGCGGGAGGAAAGCGCCTTGTGGGGGGGGGCAGGATCTTCCCTTGGGATCCTTCCCTTCCCAGTGCAGGTGTGGGACAAACAGCCTGGAAAACTGGGAGAGGGGCTTGGGACAAGGGCCTGTAGGGCCAGGCCAAGGGGAATGGCTTGAACCTGCCCGAGGGGAGACTGAGCTGAGCTCTTAGGCAGAAGCTCTTCCCTGTGAGGGTGCTGAGGCGCTGGCACAGGGTGCCCAGAGAAGCTGTGGCTGCCCCATCCCTGGCAGTGCTCAAGGCCAGGTTGGACACAGGGGTTGGAGCAAGCTGCTCCAGTGGAAGGGGTCCCTGCCATTGGAACTGGAGGAGCTTTCAGGTCCCCTCAAGCCCAGCGCAGGCTGGGTTCCATGGGAAGGGGCAGGTTTGTGGTCCCCAGGCGCATCCGGTGCTTCCATGGAGCCGCAGGTGATGAATTCCCAGCTCCTCACCAGGGCCTGGTCCCCCCCATGCCTGGCACCGGTTGGGGGGGCCCCAAGCCGCGGTCGCTGTGCTCCTGCCGGCAGATGAACCACTGCCTGCCGCGGAAGATCGTGCTGTTCCGGGACGGCGTTGCCGACAGCCAGCTGGACACGGTGCTGCGCTACGAGATCCCGCAGCTCCACAGGTGCCTGGAGACCTTCGAGAGCTACGCGCCGGGGCTGCTGGTGCTCGTGGTGCAGAAGCAGCACAGCACCAACCTGTACGTGCCGGCGGGAGAGCAGCTCGCGGCGCCTCCGCCGGGCACCGTCCTTGACCACACCATCACCAGCTCCCAGTGGTGAGTGCCGAAGACCCTTCCATAGGGTGGGCTGTGGTGGGAGGCAGTTCCACCATGGGCACGGACCCGTTGCACTGGATGCATCCAACGCAGCCCCGAGCGCCGCCAGGGATGGGGCAGCCGCAGCCCCCCCGTGCATCCCCTTCCCTTGCTGCAGGCAGGAGTTCTTCTTGCTGGCGCATCACTCGCAGCAGGGCTGCAGCATCCCCACGCGTTACATCTGCCTGCTCAACACGGCCAACCTCAGCCCCGAGCACGTACAGAGGTAGGGACCGGCTCCCTGCATCCTCCCCTCGGCTGCACCCTGTGTGTGCCCGCACCCCCTGTGTGTGCCCGCACCCCTGTGTGTGCCCGCACCCCTGTGTGTGCCCGCACCCCTGTGTGTGCCCGCACCCCCTGTGTGTGCCCGCACCCCTGTGTGTGCCTGCACCCCCTGTGTGTGCCCGCACCCCTGTGTGTGCCCGCACCCCTGTGTGTGCCCGCACCCCTGTGTGTGCCCGCACCCCTGTGTGTGCCCGCACCCCCCCCTGTGTGTGCCCGCATCCCCTGTGTGTGCCCGCATCCCCTGTGTGTGCCCGCACCCCTGTGTGTGCCCGCACCCCTGTGTGTGCCTGCACCCCCTGTGTGTGCCCGCATCCCCTGTGTGTGCCCGCACCCCTGTGTGTGCCCGCATCCCCTGTGTGTGCCTGCACCCCTGTGTGTGCCCGCATCCCCTGTGTGTGCCCGCATCCCCTGTGTGTGCCCGCATCCCCTGTGTGTGTGGTGGGGGGGGGGGGCGCCCGCACCCCTGTGTGCGCCCGCACCCCTGTGTGCGCCCGCACCCCTGTGTGCGCCCGCACCCCCTGTGTGCGCCCGCATCCCCTGTGTGCGCCCGCATCCCCTGTGTGCGCCCGCACCCCTGTGTGTGCCCGCATCCCCTGTGTGTGCCCGCATCCCTGCGGCTCTGGCATCACCGCATCCCCTGTGTGCGCCCGCACCCCTGTGTGTGCCCGCACCCCTGTGTGTGCCTACATCCCCTGTGTGTGCCCGCACCCCTGCGGCTCTGGCATCACCGCCTCCCTCGCCGCACCCAGGCTCACCTTCAAGCTCTGCCACCTCTACTGGAACTGGCCGGGCACGGTCCGCGTCCCCGCGCCCTGCCGCTACGCGCACAAGCTGGCTTTCCTGTCGGGACACGTCCTGCACCGGGAGCCCAGCGCCCTGCTCGCTCACAAGCTCTTCTTCCTGTGAGCCCCCAGCGCCGCTGCCCCCCTGCCCCTGCTCTGGTTTCGTTCTGCTCCCGGTTCCTTGCCTTGGGTTCTGTTGGTTCAGGGATGCTCGAACCGGGCTCCAATCCATGGGGTGGAACCATCCCGAGGGACCGCATCCCTGCTGCCCCATGGGTGTGAGCCCCGGGGCTCCCCCTGGTTCCTTGCCTTGGGTTCTGTTGGTTCAGGGATGCTCGAACCGGGCTCCAATCCATGGGGTGGAACCATCCCGAGGGACCGCATCCCTGCTGCCCCATGGGTGTGAGCCCCGGGGCTCCCCCTGGTTCCTTGCCTTGGGTTCTGTTGGTTCAGGGATGCTCGAACCGGGCCGGGCTCCAATCCATGGGGTGGAACCAGCCCCTGACCGCATCCCTGCTGCCCCATGGGTGTGAGCCCCAGGGATCCCCCTGGTTCCTTGCCTTGGGTTCTGTTGGTTTCAGGGATGCTCGAACCGGGCTCCAATCCATGGGGTGGAACCATCCCGAGGGACCGCATCCCTGCTGCCCCATGGGTGTGAGCCCCAGGGATCCCCCTGGTTCCTTGCCTTGGGTTCTGTTGGTTTCAGGGATGCTCAAACCGGACTCCTGGGGCTCCATGGGGTGAAACCATCCCGAGGGACCGCATCCCTGCTCCCCCATGGGTGCGAGCCCCAGGGCTCCCCCTGGTTCCTCGCCTTGCCCTGGGCTCCGCTCCCAGTTCCAGTTCTCCTTTGCCTCTCCAGCCCCGGCTCCCGCTGGCACCGGCCCGGGGGAGTCGCTGCTGTCCCAAGGGGGAGCCGATCCCGTGCTCTCTGCGCTGGCGCGGGGCCCGTTCCCAAGGGAAAACCTCCCTGGGGTCCGAGGCTGCCGCAGGCGCTCCCCTCCCTTGGGGTTTGCCTTCACCCCCCCCGTGTGCAGCAGGGGCAGGACCCGGTTCCTGCCCCCCTCTGCCGCGGTTTCAGTTCACTGCAATAAAGGCGTTGCTGGCACCGGGGTCTGGGGGCTCACGGGGACCCCCGGCCGCTCTCTTTGGGGCTGGGGGGCACAGGGAAGACGGCGCTGCAGGGACCGGGGCCCAGGTTAATCATTGACCATCGCCCGTCGCCCTTTATCTGCCGGCCCCATGGACTTTGGCTGCGCTCACCCTGCCCCGGTGCAGGGGGGGCAGTGTGGGGCTGGGGGGGGGCAGTGTGGGGCCGGGGGGGGGACAGTGTGGGGCTGGGGGGGGGGGCAGTGCCCCCAGAGGTGTCGGGGGTTCCGTGGATGCCCTGGACCACCCCAGAGGGACCTGAGGGATGCTCTGTGCCCCCCAGGATGCCTGGGGGTGGCTGCTGCTGTCCTGGACCCAGGGGGAAGGCTCCATGGGGCGATCCATGCCGCGAGGGGCTCTGTAGGGTCCATGGGGTGCTCCATGGTGTGCCCTATGGGGTGCTCTGTAGGGTCTGTGGTGTGCTCTATGGGGTGCCCTATGGGGTGTTCTGTGGGGTCCCTAGAGTGCTCTATGGTGTCTGTGGGGTGGTATATGGGGTGCTCCATGGAGTCTATGGGATGCTCTATGGGATGCTCTATGGGGTGCTCCATGGGTCTCCCGTTCCCAATCGCGCCCCCGGCGCCGGGCGCTGCGCAGCGATGCAGCGGGAGGGGGCGTGGCTTGCGCGGGCGCTGGCCAATGGGAACGCTCCCCGTGCCGCCGGCCGAGCGTGCGCCCTGCGCGGCCTCGACCCAACGGAGCGGAGCGGAGCGGGACGGAGGGAGGGAGGTAGGGAAAGGGACGGGAACGGGATGGGATGGGATGGGACCGGGATGGGAACGGGATGGGAATGGGATGGGAGCGGGATGGGAGCGGGATGGGAGCGGGGGGCGGCGGGGATCCGGCTGCGGGGACGGACGCCGCGGGGTGGGCGGCGGGGAACGGAGCGGGAGCGGGCCCGGAGCCCCGGGATGGAGACGGGGATGGGGGAAGGATGCGGGAAGGATGCGGGGAGCGGCTGAGGGGCCTGGGGCCGGTCTGTGGGGTCTGGGCAGCAGCTCTGGGGCTCGCTTTGGGGTCTGGGGCCGGGTGAGGGTGAAGGTGCAGGCAGCGGGGGGGATGTGGGGCCGGGAACGCAGCTTATGGGGCAGGGGAGCACGGGCGCAGGGCCTGGAGCCACGGGTGCAAGCGCTAGGAGCGGGTTTGGGGCTGGGGAGCGGGGGCCCCAGTTTGTGTCGGGGGGGAGCGGAGTTTATGGGGGGGGTGGTTGGGGTGGGGCGCAGTTTATGGGGTTGGGGGAGCGCAGTTTATGGGGTTAGGGAGCGCAGTTTATGGGGTTAAGGGAGCGCAGTTTATGGGGTTAAGGGAGCGCAGTTTATGGGGTTAGGGAGCGCAGTTTATGGGGTTAAGGGAGCGCAGTTTATGGGGTTAAGGGAGCGCAGTTTATGGGGTGGGGGGAGCAGTTTATGGGGTTAAGGGAGCGCAGTTTATGGGGTTAAGGGAGCGCAGTTTATGGGGTTGGGGGAGCGCAGTTTATGGGGTTAAGGGAGCGCAGTTTATGGGGTTAAGGGAGCGCAGTTTATGGGGTTAAGGGAGCACAGTTTATGGGGTGGGGGGAGCAGTTTATGGGGTTAAGGGAGCGCAGTTTATGGGGTTAAGGGAGCGCAGTTTATGGGGTTGGGGGAGCGCAGTTTATGGGGTTAAGGGAGCGCAGTTTATGGGGTTAAGGGAGCGCAGTTTATGGGGTTAAGGGAGCGCAGTTTATGGGGTGGGGGGAGCTCAGTTTATGGGGTGAGGGGAGCGCAGTTTATGGGGCAGGGAGCGCAGTTTGTGGGGTAGGGGGAGCAGTTTATGGGGTGAACCCAGTTTGTTGCGAGGGAGCCCCCGTTTGCGCGCCCAGGACCCGTCCGTGGGGCTCGGCACCGCTCTGGGGCCCGTTAGGGGCCGGGGCAGCGCGGATCGATGGGCGCCGGGAAGTGACCCCTCGGGATGCGGGAAGGGGAAGGGCCTCGGGGTGGAGCGGGGCGGGGATGGGCGCGGGGCTGCTCCGCTGGGATGCTCCGGTTGGAGCGGGTGCGGAGCGGGAGGGAGGATGCGGGGATGGGGGTGAGCGGGCACCGACCCCGTTCCGGGATGGGGCGGCCCCAGGAGGCGCCTTTGGCACCGTGGGCTCCGCGCCAGCCCCCGCGAGTGCCCCAGCCCCGGCAGGGCTCAAGGCCGGGGGGAGCGCGGGGCTCGGGGCTTTGGGCTCCGTTCTCCGGGCCCGCTCCGTGCCCCGCGGAGGGGATCGGGGGGGAGGAGGCGGCGGGGGCCGCGGGTACCGGGACCGGACCGGACCGGAGGGGTTAAAGCCCGGCAGGAGGCGGCCGGAGCCCGCAGGAATGCGGGGTCCTGGAAGGGGAGCGGGGCCCGGCCGGGTCCTGGCAGCTCCGGGTTATCCGGTTACTGCGGCGCCGGGCGGGGACGCGCGGGTGCAGCCGGGTCCCGCAGCTCCGTCCCTTGCATCGATCCCCGCGCGGCTCCTTGCGGCTGCCGGGGTTAAAGTGCGGGGCTATGGAGGAGCCGCCCTGCGGGCGCACGGGGCACAGCGGGGACCTCACGGGCGCTGGAGCGGCCGCGGCCGCTGTGAGTGCGGCCCCCATGGAGCGGGGCTGCGGCCGGGGTGCGGGGTCCCTGCGTGGGGATCGCTCCGCAGGGACCCCGAGGGGCTGCGGGGCTGGGGAGCCCCGGCCGGGGAGAGGGGAGCTGAGATTGGATCCGGGTGCAGGAGGAGCACGGGGGAGAAGGTGCTGGGGGTGGGTGCGCCGGGCCCTGCATGAGGCTGGTGTGGGGCAGGGACCTGCTGTCATTATGGACCTATAGGGCAGGGACCGGCTGTCATTATGGAGCTATAGGGCAGGGACCTGCTGTCATTATGGACCTATAGGGCAGGGATCTGACATCGGATGGAGCTGTAGAGCAGTGACCTGCCACTGGATGGGGCCGTGGGGCAGGGACCTGCTGTCATTATGGAACTGTGGGGCAGGGACCTGCTGTCATTATGGAGCTATAGGGCAGGGATCTGACATCGGATGGAGCTGTAGGGCAGTGACCTGCCACTGGATGGGGCCGTGGGGCAGGGATCTGCTGTCATTATGGAGCTGTGGGGCAGGGATCTGCCATCGGATAGGGCTGTGGGGCAGGAGCCGGGGGCTGTGGGGCAGAGGAGCCGGGGGCTGTGGGGCAGGAGCCGGGGGCTGTGGGGCAGGAGCCGGGGGCTGTGGGGCAGGGGGGGGTGTGGGGGGGGGGGGTGTGGGGGGGGGGGGGTGTGGGGGGGGGGGGTGTGGGGGGGGGGGTGTGGGGGGGGGGGGTGTGGGGGGGGGGGGGTGTGGGGGGGGGGGGGTGTGGGGGGGGGTGTGGGGGGGGGGGGTGTGGGGGGGGGGGGTGTGGGGGGGGGGGGTGTGGGGGGGGGGGTGTGGGGGGGGGGGGGTGTGGGGGGGTGGGGGTGGGGGGGGGGGTTGTGGGGGGGGGGGGGTGTGGGGGGGGGGGTGTGGGGCAGGGAGCTGGCTCTGTGGGGTAGGAGCTGGGGGCTGTGGGGCAGGAGCCGGGGGCTGTGGGGCAGGAGCCGGGGGCTGTGGAGCTGTGGGGCAGGGAGCCGGGGGCTGTGGGGCAGGAGCCGGGGCTGTGGGGCAGGGAGCTGGCTCTGTGGGGTAGGAGCCGGGGGCTGTGGGGCAGGAGCCGGGGCTGTGGGGACACCAGCGCTCACCGCAGTTTGTGCCTTCTCTTGCAGCGCCCCCGCGATGCCCCGCGCCGGGCGCTGGTGCCGGCTGCTGCTGGCGCTGCTCTGGCTCCTGCCCTGCCCGGGCCGGGCCGACCCCGGGCTCTCGGCGGGCTCCTTCCTGCGGGACCTGCTCCAGCGGCACGGGGAGAGCGGGGCCCTGAGCCTGGCGCAGCTCCAGGCGCTCCTCACCCGCCTCGACGTGGGCCGGGGGCCCGGCAACGCCTCGGTGCCGCGGGGGAACCTGACCCGGGTGAGCACAGGGTTGCGGCATGCATGGGGCTCCCGTGGGGCTGCACCGGGCTCAGCCCGGCCCCTCCGGGCTCACCCCGGTCCCCCCCTACCCCCGCAGTGCCTCAGCTCCGCCGAGCTCTTTGCCCTTCACAACCTGAGCGCGGGCTCGGCCGTGGGGCCCCGCGAGCTCCAGGGGCTCTGCCCCGCGATCCTGCAGCAGTTGGAGAGCGGCGCCTGCGCCACCGGGACTGGAACCGGGACCGGGACTGGGATCGGGATCGGGACTGGGACTGGGACCGGTGCCACCGAGGGCGAGCAGGCGGAGGAGAGCAGGCCCAGCGCAGCTGAAGGTAAGGAGGGGTTCAGGGCACATCCGCGGCCCCATTGGGTTCCCTCTGCGCGGATCCGGGCCCAGTGGCACCGGACGAGCTGCATGGACGGGGAGGGGGGATCCGGTGCCTGCGGTGTGGGATCGGGCCCGGCGCTGCCGGCCCCATGCCCTGGGGCTCTCCCCGGTGGCTCCGTTCCCCTGCCCTGAGCAGTGCCCGTGACCGCCCCCCCCGGCCCCCGGTAACGTGGCCCCGGTCTCTTGTCGTTCCGCAGCGTGGGGCTTCGGCTTCCTCAGCGTGTCCATGATTAACGTGGCCGCTCTGCTCGGCGCCCTCCTCGTGCCCTGTACCGGGAAGCCCGTTTTCCGCCGCGTGCTCCCGTTTCTCGTGGCGCTCTCCATCGGCTCGCTGCTCTCTAACGCGCTCTTCCAGCTCATCCCAGAGGTGCGCCCGCGGCCCCGCCATGCCCACCGCTCACCCTCAGGGTCAGGCTCAGGCTCAGGATCAGGCTCAGGCTCAGGCTCAGGCTCAGGCTCAGGCTCAGGCCCAGGCCCAGCCTCAGGCCCAGGCTCAGGCTCAGGCTCAGGCTCAGGATCAGGCTCAGGCTCAGGCTCAGGCTCAGGCTCAGGTTCAGGCTCAGGCCCAGACTCAGGCCCAGGCTCAGGCTCAGGCTCAGGCTCAGGCCCAGGCTCAGGCTCAGGCTCAGGCCCAGGCTCAGGCTCAGGCTCAGGCCCAGGCTCAGGCCCAGGCTCAGGCTCAGGCTCAGACCCAGGCTCAGGCCCAGGCTCAGACCCAGGCTCAGGCCCAGGCTCAGGCTCAGGCTCAGGCTCAGGCCCAGGCTCAGGCTCAGGCTCAGGCTCAGGCTCAGGCTCAGTGGTGGTGGGTGACCCAGGCTCAGACCCAGGCTCAGGCTCAGGCTCAGGCTTAGGCCCAGGCTCAGGCTCAGGCCCAGGCTCAGGCTCAGACCCAGGCTCAGGCTCAGGCTCAGGTTCAGTCTTAGGCTCAGGCTGCTCCGGGGCTCCGCAGGCTCCTCCCGCCCCTCCGAGCACCAGGAAACCCCCAGGATCCAGGGGTGTTTGCAATGGGGGGACCCCTGCAGCTGCTCTGGGGCCCCCCTTCAGGAGCCTCCTCTTGCCGCCAGCCTGGCCCCGGGGCAGAGCTGCTCTGGTCCCTGCAGCATCCCTGTGGCTCCACTGCAGCAGCTCCAGGGCCCCCCTTCAGGAGCCTCCTCTTGCCCCCAGCCTGGCCCCGGGGCAGAGCTGCTCCGGTCCCTGCAGCATCCCCCTGGCTCCACTGCAGCAGCTCCAGGGCCCCCCTTCAGGAGCCTCCTCTTGCCCCCAGCCTGGCCCCGGGGCAGAGCTGCTCCGGTCCCTGCAGCATCCCCATGGCTCCACTGCAGCAGCTCCAGGGCCCCCCTTCAGGAGCCTCCTCTTGCCCCCAGCCTGGCCCCGGGACAGAGCTGCTCCGGTCCCTGCAGCATCCCCATGGCTCCACTGCAGCAGCTCCAGGGCCGGGGCAGGACCCAACCCCCATGGGCTGCGGCTGCACCACAGCTCAATGAGAGCCCCACAGGGCCCCATGGGCTGCGGCTGCTGCAGGGCTCAATGAGAGCCCCGCAGGGATGCGCTCAGCTCCATTGCAGGCACCGCTGTGAGAGCGCAGGGAGCAGCCGCGTCCCCATCACCAGCGCCTTTCCCATTGCCTCCCCTTTACCCCTCTCTGCTTTCCGATGCCCCCCGTGCGGTTTCCTGGTGCTCCCATGGGCCGCTGGACACCGCAGTGATTCTGTTGTAATTGCGCACTCCTGGAGCTGAATCAAAGCCCTGGACCCCGCAAACCCTGGGGGCTCCCCCTGCTCCCGGTCCAGGAGGCTTCACGGGGCCCTGACATGGATCCAATCCCTTGAACCCTGTCCTTAGGGTGCCTGCCCCCATTGGGCACCGCGCACCCGGATCCATGGGGATTGCCCAGGCTCCCGCTCGGCTCCAGAACTGCTCCATGGGTCTGGCCCCGGCCACGCTCCAGCCTGGGGGTGCTGCGGGAGCAGGATGGAGCGTGCGGGGCGCGGGGGGCACCGGGGGCGCTGGAGCGGCCGCCCCCATCCCGCGGGGGCTCGGCAGCAGCCCCGGAGCTCGGCCCCGCTCCGCTCCCGGTCCCCCCGCCGCAATGAAGCCCAATCACTAACCAATGTCCTCTTCTCTCCTCCCCCTGCCCCACATCCCCCCTCCCTGCCCCTGTCCCCGCTGCTCCCCGGGGGGTTTGGCCCTGCCGCAGTCTGGGGGTTCGGGTTGCTCTGCGTCACCGTCATCTCCCTCTGCTCGCTGGTGGGAGCCAGCGTCGTGCCCTTCATGAGGAAGACCTTTTACAAGCGGCTGCTCCTCTACTTCATAGCTCTGGCGATTGGAACTCTCTACTCCAACGCCCTCTTCCAGCTCATCCCCGAGGTAGGCTGAGGGCCCTCTCCCGGCTCTTGGGGCTCTCTCCCTGTCGGAGGGAGCCCGCAGCGAGGTACGGAGCCTGGGAGCCCCTGGGAGGGCACTGGAGCTGCTGCTGCGCCCCTCTGGGGACCGGAGTCACCTCTGGGCTGCCCCGAGGCCTTGCCTGCGCTTGGCAGCTCCCTCCTGTGTGCATCCCCTGCATCCCCCCTGTGTGCATCACCTGCATCCCTGCTGTGTGCATCCCCTGCATCCCCGCTGTGTGCATCCCCTGCATCCCCGCTGTGTGCATCACCTGCATCCCTGCTCTGTGCATCCCCTGCATCCCTGCTGCGCGCATCCCCTGCATCCCTGCTGTGTGCATCCCCTGCATCCCCACTGTGTGCATCACCTGCATCCCCGCTGTGTGCATCCCCTGCATCCCCGCTGTGTGCATCACCTGCATCCCTGCTCTGTGCATCCCCTGCATCCCTGCTGCGCGCATCCCCTGCATCCCTGCTGTGTGCATCCCCTGCATCCCCACTGTGTGCATCACCTGCATCCCCGCTGTGTGCATCCCCTGCATCCCCGCTGTGTGCATCCCCTGCATCCCCGCTGTGTGCATCACCTGCATCCCTGCTGTGTGCATCCCCTGCATCCCCGCTGTGTGCATCACCTGCATCCCTGCTGTGTGCATCACCTGCATCCCCGCTGTGTGCATCACCTGCATCCCCGCTGTGTGCATCCCCTGCATCCCCGCTGTGTGCATCCCCTGCATCCCCGCTGTGTGCATCACCTGCATCCCCGCTGTTGTGTGCATCACCTGCATCCCTGCTGTGTGCATCCCCTGCATCCCTGCTGTGTGCATCACCTGCATCCCTGCTGTGTGCATCCCCTGCATCCCCGCTGTGTGCATCCCCTGCATCCCCGCTGTGTGCATCACCTGCATCCCCGCTGTGTGCATCCCCTGCATCCCCGCTGTGTGCATCCCCTGCATCCCCGCTGTGTGCATCACCTGCATCCCCGCTGTGTGCATCACCTGCATCCCTGCTGTGTGCATCACCTGCATCCCCGCTGCTGTGTGCATCACCTGCATCCCCGGGGCCCAGGGGAGCAAGGGAGATGGAAGGGGCACAAAGGCCCCTTCACAAAGGGAGCTTGTCCACTGCTGGGGGGGGTCAGGGCCTGGCAGGGCTGCCCCGAGGCCCTGGGGCTGGGGCTCAGAGCTGTCCCCGTCCCCGCAGGCGTTCGGGTTCAACCCGCAGGAGGATCATTACGTGTCCAAGTCGGCCGTGGTGTTCGGGGGCTTCTACCTCTTCTTCTTCACCGAGAAGGTGCTGAAGATGCTGCTGAAGCAGAAGGACCAGGTGAGGCCGGGCAGGGCCCGGAGGAGCGCGGCTGGGGGGGGCACACGCGGCTGACGTCCATTGCCCCCCCTTGTCCCCCAGCACCACCATGGGCACAGCCACTACGGCCCCGAGGCTCTGCCCTCCAGGAAGGACCAGGAGGAGGGGGTGATGGAGAAGCTGCAGAACGGGGACCTGGACCACATGATCCCCCCTGCAGGCAGTGAGCGGGAGGGCAGGAGCCCCCCCGGCGATGAGAAGCTTGGGGGGGGCTCCCTCTCAGTCCAGGTGCGTGGGGCTGGGGGCAGAGCGTGGGGAGGGAGCAGGGCTGGACCCCGACGCACACGGCAGCGATGGGGCTGGGAGGGAGCTGGTGCAGCTGAGGGCATCCCCATGGCAAAGGGATGGGGGTGGCTCCGGGTGTGGGTGCTGAGCCCCGGGTGCTGTTCACTGGGTGCTGGGTGCTGTGCACTGGGTGCTGAGCACTGGGTGCTGTGCACTGGGTGCTGTGCGCTGGGTGCTGAGCACTGGGTGCTGTGCACTGGGTGCTGAGCGCTGGGTGCTGAGCGCTGGGTGCTGAGCGCTGGGTGCTGTGCACTGGATGCAGTGCATTGGGTGCTGACCCCTGGGTGCTGATGCCCGGGTGCTGTGCATTGGGTGCTGAGCCCCGGGTGCTGAGCACTGGGTGCTGAGTGCTGGGTGTTGAGCACTGGGTGCTGTGCACTGGGTGCTGAGTGCTGGGTGTTGAGCACTGGGTGCTGTGCACTGGGTGCTGAGCGCTGGGTGCTGTGCACTGGGTGCTGATGCCCGGGTGCTGTGTGCTGCAGGACCTGCAGGCCTCGCAGAGCCCCTGCTCCTGGCTGAAGGAGGTTCGCTACTCGGACATCGGGACCCTGGCCTGGATGATCACCCTCAGCGACGGGCTCCACAACTTCATCGACGGCCTGGCCATCGGCGCCTCCTTCACCGTGTCCGTGTTCCAGGGCGTCAGCACCTCCGTGGCCATCCTGTGCGAGGAGTTCCCGCACGAGCTGGGTGCGTGCGCCTGCACCGGGAGCCTCCCTGCGGCTGCCGGGGCTCAGGGACCAGGGCTGGGGTGGGCTCCATGGATGGGGCTCCCCTGGACCAGGGCTGGGATGGGCTCCATGGATGGAGCTCCACTGGACCAGGGCTGGGATGGGCTCCATGGATGGAGCTCCACTGGACCAGGGCTGGGATGGGCTCCATGGATGGGGCTCCCTGGACCAGGGGCTGGGATGGGCTCCGTGGATGGAGCTGCCCTGGACCAGGGCTGGGATGGGCTCCGTGGATGGAGCTGCCCTGGACCAGGGCTGGGATGGGCTCCATGGATGGAGCTCCCCTGGACCAGGGCTGGGATGGGCTCCATGGATGGAGCTCCCTGGACCAGGGCTGGGATGGGCTCCATGGATGGAGCTCCCCTGGACCAGGGCTGGGATGGGCTCCATGGATGGGGCTCCCTGGGGCCAGGGCTGGGATGGGCTCCATGGATGGAGCTGCCCTGGACCAGGGCTGGGATGGGCTCCATGGATGGGGCTCCCTGGACCAGGGGCTGGGATGGGCTCCATGGATGGGGCTCCCCTGGACCAGGGGCTGGGATGGGCTCCATGGCTGGGGCTCCCCTGGACCAGGGCTGGGATGGGCTCCATGGCTGGGGCTCCCCTGGACCAGGGCTGGATGGGCTCCATGGATGGGGCTCCCTGGACCAGGGGCTGGGATGGGCTCCATGGATGGGGCTCCCTGGACCAGGGGCTGGATGGGCTCCATGGATGGGGCTCCCTGGACCAGGGGCTGGGATGGGCTCCATGGCTGGGGCTCCCTGGACCAGGGCTGGATGGGCTCCATGGCTGGGGCTCCCACTGAGCCCGCACTGCTCCCGCAGGGGACTTTGTGATCCTGCTCAACGCGGGCATGAGCATCCGCCAGGCGCTCTTCTTCAACTTCCTCTCGGCCTGCTGCTGCTACGCGGGGCTGGCCTGCGGCATCCTGGCCGGCAGCCACTTCTCGCCCAACTGGATCTTCGCCCTGGCGGGGGGGATGTTCCTCTACATCGCCCTGGCCGACATGGTGAGTGCTGGGACATGGTGAGTGCAGGGACATGGTGAGTGCTGGGACATGGTGAGTGCTGGGACATGGTGAGTGCAGGGACATGGTGAGTGCAGGGACATGGTGAGTGCGGGGGGGGGCTGGCAGTGCTGATGCTGCCTGCACCGGGCTCTGCTGTCCCCCAGTACATCCCAGTCTGTGCCATTCCCAGCACATCCCAGTCTCTGCCATCCCCAGTACATCCCAGTCTCTGTCATCCCCCAGCACATCCCAGTCTGTGCCATCCCCCAGTACATCCCAGTCTCTGCATTCCCAGTACATCCCAGTCTGTACCATCCCCCAGTACATCCCAGTCTGTACCATCCCCAGTACATCCCAGTCTGTACCATTCCCAGTACACCCCAGTCTGTACCATTCCCAGTACACCCCAGTCTGTGCCATCCCCCAGTACATCCCAGTCTGTGCCATCCCCAGCACATCCCAGTCTCTACATTCCCAGTACATCCTAGTCTGTACCATCCCCAGTACATCCCAGTCTGTACCATCCCCAGTACACCCCAGTCTCTACATTCCCAGTACACCCCAGTCTCTACATTCCCAGTACACCCCAGTCTCTACATTCCCAGTACATCCCAGTCTCTGCATTCCCAGTACACCCCAGTCTCTACATTCCCAGTACATCCTAGTCTCTACATTCCCAGTACACCCCAGTCTCTACATTCCCAGTACACCCCAGTCTGTACCATTCCCAGTACACCCCAGTCTCTGCATCCCTCCCTCCCGCCCGCAGTTCCCGGAGATGAACGAGGTGAGCCGGGAGGACGAGCACGGCGGGAGCGCGCTCATCACCTTCGCCATCCAGAACGCGGGGCTGCTCACGGGCTTCGCCATCATGGTGCTGCTCACCGTGTACTCCGGCCACATCCGCATCGGGTAGCGCCGGCGCCGCGCAGCCCTGCCCCGCCCCGTGGAGCCCGGCCTGGGGTGGTTTGGGGGGGACGGGTATTGGGGGGGGTTTCCTTTCCCTTCCCTGTGCGGGCACCGGCATCACCACGGGAGAGGCAGCGCTGCCCACGGGCTTCCATGGGCTCGGGTTCGGTTTGAGGCTGGGGGAGCCTCGGCCCCTCTCCCACAGGACTGAACTGGCCGGAGGACTCCTCCCAGTGCCGCGTCCCCGCTCTCCTCGCACCTCCTGGGCAGCGGAGCCGCGCTGCTCCCCTCGGAGCACTGCGATGGGATGGGATGGGGGCTCCCCTTGACCCCGCTGCCACAGCGCCTGGTGCAGGCGGTGCTGAGGGAGAGGCTGCGGCAGCCTTCGAGCCTCGTCCCTGCTGCCTTGAAGTGTGTCTGGAGCCGCACCTGGATCCGCTCCCGTTGTGCCCCGGCTCTCATGGGACAGGCACGGCCGCGCCGGGCTGCAGCGGGGGGCACGGACTGAGCCGGAGCCGGAGCCGGCTCCCACCCCCGGCGCCTCCCAGCGCTGCTGCTGGGCTGGTTCCCAGGTTCACCGCGTGAACGGATCCGTTCTCACATGGATAACACCGGGTCCCCTGCGGGCCTGCACCCCAGGAGCTGCGCCAGGGAGGGAGGGGAGCTCCCGATGGCTTCGTCCCCGTGGCACCGGGGAGCTCCTGGCTTTGTCCTGGTTACGGAGCTCAGCGCCAAGGAGCATCCCTCAGTGCAGGGGTGCCCACGGGGGGGGCCGGGCTCCGCTCCATCCCCGCGGTGCCTCCTGTGGCTATGGATGCGCATCCGGGATCCCTGCCCCAGCATCCCCAGGCTGCTGCTGGAGCTCCCTTCCCTGCGGGGGAGCCGCGTCCTCATCCCCTTCCCACGTGTAGCAGAAGGGAGCCCTGCCGAGGGCGGCGCGGGCTCCCCCGGGGAAGCGGTTGGGAAGCGGCGGCATTCCCGGGCTGGCAGCAGCGGGTCCGGACACGGAGGGGAACGGGGGGGAGATGCTGGAGCGCAGCCCTGGGGCCTGGGAGCCCTCAGTGCTCCCGGGGGGGGAATGGGACAGGATTGCCCCTGGAGCGGGGTCTCCTTGGGGAGCTCCAGGAGGGGAACCCTGCAGTGGGGGGGTGCGGGAGGAGGAGGGAAGAGCTCGGCCCCCGGTCCCGCCGCGGGGGGGGGAGCGGCGGTGTTTGTACCAGCCCGGCAATAAACGGCTCGGGGAGGACGGAGGCTGCGCATGCGCGGGGCTGGGATGGGGACGGGGACGTGGACGGGGAGGGAGCCCCGTGGGGCAGCGCTGCCGGTGGGGAACGGCTCTGACCGCCCCGGAGCAGGGAGCTCCAACCGGGCCTTGAGCACTGCCAGGGATGGGGCAGCCACAGCTTCTCTGGGCACCCTGTGCCAGCTCCTCAGCACCCTCACAGGGAACAGCTTCTGCCTAAGAGCTCAGCTCAGTCTCCCCTCGGGCAGGTTCAAGCCATTCCCCTTGGCCTGGCCCTACAGGCCCTTGTCCCAAGCCCCTCTCCAGGTTCCCCGCAGCCCTTCAGGCACCGGAGCTGCTCCGGGGGCTCCTGCACAGCACGGGTGCGGGGGCACCTTTGTCTTTACCTGCCCCATAGGCAGCCGCGGTGCACGGGAGGCTGCGGCGGGGGTCACGGGGGGTGAGGCGGGGTTAGCATGGGATGATGTGTGCTGAAGGCACGGGGTGGTGTTTAATGCTCTGGGTGATGAAGGCCCTGGGTGGTAATGATGATGGTGTGGATGTGTCCCAGGTCCGCCATGTTGCCGCTCCCGTCGCCTAGCAACACCGCTTTCCCCTCCAAGATGGCGGCAGGAAGCGGCCGCGGGAGAGCCCACGTGACGCGGGGCGCAGGCGCGGCTCCGCCCCTCTCCCCCTCCCGTCGCCGCCGGCTGTGGCGCAGGCGCAGCGCGCAGGGGGCGGGGCCGCGCGGGGCGGCGCCTGCGCAGTGCGGGCTCGGGAGCAGCGCGGTGGTGGCGGCGGGGGGCGGAGGCTCCGAGCGCGGCCCTCCCGGCCCGTCCCGCTCCGCCGCCGCCGCAGCGCCCCGCGGGGCCTCCTCCGGACCGCAGCGAGCGGGGCCCCGGCACCGCCACCATGTCCGGGCGCGGGCACAGCAAGCTGCCGACCACCGAGCGCATCGTCAAGGGTGAGGGCACGGGGCGGCCTCCGAGGGGAGGCGGTTGGGGGGGGGGCATCCCCGGCCCCGCGGCTGCGGGAGAGCCGCGGGGGGCGTCCCTTGAGTGACGGCTTCGGCCATGGGGGACGGCGCTGCTCGAGGGGGGCCGAGGGTGAGGGGAGCCCCGCCTCGGTCCGTGGTGCAGTGACCCCGGGGTGCGGGTGCAGGGGAGGCCGTTACCCGGCAGCTGACGGGGGCTCCCCGTTGCAGGTGAGGGCAGGAGAGGCTCCAGCGGGGGCTGCACCCGTGGGGCTGAGCCCCTGCTGTGGGTGCCGGGGGGGGCCCTGCCTGTGCCGCCCGCCCGGGGCCGGTGCCAGCTGGGTCCCTCCGCGGCACCCGTTATAGCAGGGACTATTTTGGACGGAGCAGCAGGCACCGGAGCGTTAACGGGAGGGAGCCGCGCTGGGGCCGGGCTGCGGCGAGGCCCCGGCTTACACAATCCCCCCTTATGGAGCTGTTGCCCCGGGCAAGGGCAGTGCTGAGGGCTGGAAGGAGCTGCGGGGATGGATGCACTTTACCGTTCTCTGCGTGGGGCCGGGTGCTTTCTGCTCGGGTTCCGGCTCTCGTGGGCCCAGGCACAGGCTCAGGTGTTAATGACAGCGGCCTCCAAGGAAAGGAGGATGAATGGAGGTGGCCTGGGAGCCCTGTGCTGTGAGCCCTGCATCCCCCACTGTGAGCCGTGTATCCCCTGCTCACCCCCACTGTGAGCCCTGCATCCCCTGCTGTGAGCCCTGCATCCCCTGCTCACCCCCGCTGTGAGCCCTGCATCGCCTGCTCTGAGCCCTGCATCCCCTGCTCACCCCCGCTGTGAGCCCTGCATCGCCTGCTCTGCCCCACTGTGAGCCCTGCATCCCCTGCTCAGCCCCTGCTGTGAGCCCTGCATCCCCTGCTCACCCCTGCTGTGAGCCCTGCATCCCCTGCTCACCCCTGCTGTGAGCCCTGCATCCCCTGCTCACCCCCGCTGTGAGCCCTGCATCCCCTGCTCAGCCCCTGCTGTGAGCCCTGCATCCCCTGCTCACCCCCACTGTGAGCCCTGCATCCCCTGCTCACCCCCGCTGTGAGCCCTGCATCCCCTGCTCACCCCCACTGTGAGCCCTGCATCCCCTGCTCACCCCTGCTGTGAGCCCTGCATCCCCTGCTCAGCCCCTGCTGTGAGCCCTGCATCCCCTGCTCACCCCTGCTGTGAGCCCTGCATCCCCTGCTCACCCCCCTGTGATGTCCCTGCTCACCCCCGCTGTGAGCCCTGCATCCCCTGCTCAGCCCCACTGTGAGCCCTGCATCCCCTGCTCACCCCCACTGTGAGCCCTGCATCCCCTGCTCACCCCCACTGTGAGCCCTGCATCGCCTGCTGTGAGCCCTGCATCCCCTGCTCAGCCCCACTGTGAGCCCTGCATCCCCTGCTCTGAGCCCTGCATCCCCTGCTCACCCCCACTGTGAGCCCTGCATCCCCTGCTCAGCCCCACTGTGAGCCCTGCATCCCCTGCTCACCCCCACTGTGAGCCCTGCATCACCTGCTCTGAGCCCTGCATCCCCTGCTCACCCCCACTGTGAGCCCTTCATCCCCTGCTCACCCCCACTGTGAGCCCTGCATCCCCTGCTCAGCCCCACTGTGAGCCCTGCATCCCCTGCTCACCCCCACTGTGAGCCCTGCATCCCCTGCTCAGCCCCACTGTGAGCCCTGCATCCCCTGCTCTGAGCCCTGCATCCCCTGCTCACCCCTGCTCTGAGCCCTGCATCCCCTGCTCAGCCCCACTGTGAGCCCTGCATCCCCTGCTCCGAGCCCTGCATCCGCTGCTCCCAGCCTCCAGCTTGGCCTTGCTCAGGTAAGGGCAGTGCAGGTGCAGCCGCTCAGGTCCCGTTCGCTGCCCACGCTTCCAGAGCCTGGGAACCCCCCCCCGACTCCTGCTGGGAATGGTGCTGCTCCGGGGCTGGGGCCACTGGTGGTGGGGGCTGCAGCAGCTCCCTCTGGGCACTGGTGCTCCCGGGGGAGCTGGGCAAGGAGAGCCCGGGTTCCCCTGCGTACGGTGGGGATCGCGGTGGCGCTGGGGGCAGGAGGGTGCTGGTGGGTGCTGGTGGAAGGTGCTGATGTGAGGGGTAAGGTTCAGTTCAGGCTGAGGTTCGCTCCATTGAGGTGCCTCCAGTGCAGCAGCATGGGGAGTTTGAACTACATTTAACCCACATACTGAGAGCCCTGGGGAGGTGTTCGCTGTAATTAGGTTTAGTCAGGAGAAACCCAGAGCCTGCAGGGGCCTCGGGTCTGTGCTTCAATCTCCACGTCCATTGTGAAAGCCTCAGCTGGGGATGCATCAAGCGCTGGTTTTAGTAGCCCAGGTGTGGCAGGCAGCTGGTGCCTGCTGTGCCCTGTGCAGGGCTTGGAGCTGGATGGTCCAGTCCAGGATCCAGGATGTGTGCTCCAACCCTGTGCTCTCATGGGGTTATGCTGGGTCTGGGTGCGTGCAGCAGCCCAGAGTTAGGCTTGGCTCAGGGGATGGATGCTGAGCGGTCACTGGGTCTGGGTGAGTGCATAGGCCCAAAGGTAGGCTTGGCTCAAGGGATGGATGCTGAAGGGATGGATGCTGAGCGGGTGCTGGGTCTGGGTGCATGCATCAGCCCAGAGGTAGGCTTGGCTCAAGGGATGGATGCTGAAGGGATGGATGCTGAGCGGGTGCTGGGTCTGGGTGAGTGCATAGGCCCAAAGGTAGGCTTGGCTCAAGGGATGGATGCTGAGCAGTCTCTGGGTCTGGGTGCGTGCAGCAGCCCAGAGGTAGGCTTGGCTCAAGGGATGGATGCTGAGCGGGTGCTGGGTCTGG